ATTAATTCATTATTAATAATACTATAGTTAATACAATAATTAATAACTGTTTGTTCATTACAGTATTAACTGCTTACTTTTAACACAATAACACATAGACAGACGACACAGACGACAGACGACACTAGTAGCATTTGGACGGCGGCGCGGTGTTGGGGGAAGGTGCGGTGGCGGGTGGTGTTCCGAGCGAGACGGCTTCGTCACTAAAGAAGGGGTAGCGGATTTTTATCCCCCTGGAATTTTACCCCTGGGCAAACGTAACGTCACAAACCAGGGGGTAAAATTCTGGCCGCGAACTTTTGAGTTTCGCGACATCAGCTCGATGGATTAAACGTAGAATTAAACATATATTTTCACGGTTGTGAATTTAATCAGAACACATCAACTTATAAAAACCTAGAGTGCACGGCCCGGATTTTTACCCCCGGAATTTTACCCCCTGGCCAGATATATAAATTAGTGAGAATGATTAATTATCTTCATTCTGTTTTAATTTAATAGTAAACATTTTATCATTAAGTAGCCTATCTTAATCTTAATTTATTTGTAACATCAACTAATCGAACAGGTTTTTTATTTTAATTTTGAGATTCGAGTATCAGGATTCGATCTTTGAAGCCAACTGTTGATTAATATGACGTATAAACAAACATTAGAATGGTAATTGATTCGAAGATTTCTTTAACGATTTATTATACATCCGTAGTAAAACAAAGTTTTTCGTTTGTATTGTAACACTAACAAAATATGCCTTATTGTTTCTTTAAGAAGAAATGTTCACCCAATTATCATTTAAATGAGCTACTCAGTTTATTTTACATACTTATTAACCAACAGTGTGCCCCAAACGCAAATCCCGAACATCAAAATTAAACAGCGAAATCGGTTTACTTAGTTGAGATTACAAAATATAAATAAATAAAGATAGGCGACTAAATAATGAAATGTTTACAATTAATTAAAAACAGAAATAAGAAAACCAATCATTCAATTTCTAAAATCGGCCAGGGGTTAAAATTCCTGGGGGTAAAAATCCGGGGGTAAAATTCCGGGGGTAAAAATCCGAGGGTAAAAATCCGGCCCGTACATCTTCAGTTGTCTAAACGCTAGTTATATGGACAGGGGGTAAAATTCAGGTTTTTATCGGTAATCTAATTAATCACGCTCTGGCTATTTAATTAGACTTCCAAATCCGCGGGGGTAAAATTCCGGCCGCGAACAAACTTTTGGCCATTCAGGTTACTACTTCGTAGAGGCGTCAGCTTTGCCCAGGAGGTATCATTCCAGGGGGATAAAATTCCGGCGACCCCAGAAGAACGCACCCGCACCTACCTACCAGCAGGAGAGCTGGGAACAGGAGATACGAGGACGCTGGACCAGGCGATTGATACAGGAAAATATATATTTTTTTTTTAGTAGAACTTGGGATGTTTCTTGTCAGATATGGTATAATTACTTTTCCTTTTATAGATACGAGTATAAAAATATACAAAATATTTATTTAATTTAAACTATATGTTTTACAAATGGTGGTGGTGGAAGTGGTTGTTAAGCCCCTTACTGATTGCATTGCTTACAAAAAAATATGTTTTCCCAAAACATTGAAGCGAAGGAAGTTTATCCAATTTAGTTTAAAGGAAAGACGAATACAGACATGTAGAACTAAGATCCACCACTTCATATTACACAGCCTGATTGTACTATAGGTTTTGTTTTTGAAGTGATAAAAATGTTGCGTAGGAACTATAAACATCTATTGGCAAGAACCAACTACTGTAGTTATTTGTTTAATCATACATGAGTGCCTAGATTAAGAATATGTCCATACAACTATTTACATACAAAAATGTGACTTTACCAAGCCCGTGTACAACATAAAAATTGCCAAAATATACTAGTCGCAGTAAAAAGTATGGAAAATTACATATTCATAAAATAATCTCCTGCGAATGGATACATTCTTAGTTACAACAATGAGTTCATATAAACATAAGTCGACTCATCAACTTTCAATCATAACTCAGTTATTTTTATCATTAGCATAAATTGAACAAAAACAGCTCAGTACAATGCAAATTTTCTTATTAAAAGGTCCATCACGTTTAAGCCCATAAAACACCAACTCGGTGATTATATACGTTATAAGGGGCAGCAGTTTGAGCTAACATTAAAAACTGTTCGCCAAATTAAATTTTGTTGCTCTTACTTCACAGCATACAAAACCCTGGTTTGGTTCTATAGAACATACCTATCTGACATTGTAAACATATAGCTTATTTCATATTGAGAATCACAATTGGTAAGGATGTATTAATGAATAGCTCCTTAAATGTATTGTTAGGTATTACAACCTTTTACATTCTTAATGATTAAATACTCGTACGTATTAGTTAACTAACTATTCAAAAAAACATTTAATATTTTGAATGTTTAAAATATCTGTCCTTTGAAACCCTTAGAGCTAAAAATAACGGAGGTAAGCCTGTGGAGGAGAGCTGTTGTCTGTAAGTGGTGAATGGATGAACAGTGTACCCCTGACACCCTGGTAATAGAGTTTCCTTGTAGCGTGGCGAGCTTATTGGTGGAGTGGGAACTACTCCACCCTCCATCCCACAGGAGCAACCCTCTACCTACCACCCTACCTATCATATAATACTCTCTACCTGTTACAATGTACCTGTAGTATTAGTAGAACCTAACGTGCCATTCGTACCTCAGGAATAACCCTACCATCAAAGAACCTAACCTACACTCCATCCCACAGGAGCAACCCTCTACCTACCACCCTACCTATAATATAATACCCTCTACCTGTTACAATGTACCATGTAGTATTAGTAGAACCTAACGTGCCATTCGTACCTCAGGAAAACCCCTACTACCACAGAACCGGTACCTAGATTAGATCCAACAAAGGCGACCCACTACCTACCACCCTATCTATCATATGATACCCTCTACCTGTTACAATGTACCTGTAGTATTAGTAGAACGTATTGTACCATTGGTGAGTAGCCTTCAAGAATAACCCTACTACCACAGAACCAGTACGTAGATTGGATCCAACAAAGGCGACCCACTACCTACCACCCTACCTGTCATATAATACACTCTACCTGTTACAATGTACCTGTAGTATTAGTATAACCTAACGTGCCATTCGTACCTCAAGAATAACCCTACCACCAAAGAACCCAACCTACACTCCATCGCACAGGAGCAACCCTCTACCCACCCTGGTTTCGGCACGAAGTTGTACCATCATCAGGAGCGACAGTTTGAAATTTTCAGTTTAATGGATGTCGTTTGGTTAAAACTACTAACAGTTCACTACATACGTTTACTGAAGATTTCAACCTGTCCCGCCTGATGATGAACTTCGTTCCAAAACATAGGTCGCAACAGCCGACTTAATTTGAACTGGTGACTGAAGATAAAAAAGTTAGTATTTAAAAGTTTTAGTATTTAATGTTATTTGAAGTTTGAAAATGGACTTATGTCCGAAACATGTAACTTATAAAAAAAAATATAATATTTAGGGTTCTCGGTTGTACTTTATTTACTACTATAATTTAATATATCAGCAGCCCTATTGCGTGAACACCTAAATTAATATATATATATATATATATTATACGTGGGTGTCCGTTAGCACGATTACTAGAGCAATTGGTATAAACGTGTATACCTACATTTATCCGAACGATTTCGCGACCCAGCATGATCGGACTATGGGAACGGGGATTTATGGGGTAAAAATTGGATTTTCCCATTTTTGACCCAAGAAACCTAAAATTTATCAATTTATTTCCAAACCACTTTGTAGACCTTAAGAAAACAAATAATTAAGTATATTGAAGCGTTATTATGTGCCTAAAGATTATGGAGAAAAATAAAAAAAATAATTTAAAATTCCCATTTTATTCTTTTGGAGAATAAATAAACTGTTGTAGTTTGTTATAAACATAATTTGATCACATTTGGAAAATGGATTTACTTCTTTAAAAAGTCTTAACACTTACCAAAGAAAAAACACTCTTTTACCCTCCCTGTTGCAGCAAACCTACGTACTCGTTAAACTAATTCTATTTAAATAAGGAATAAATGTGATATTTTTAAGGAGACATTTTAGTGTAAATCCAATCAGGCAAATGGAAATTCACTTAGTCTACAGGTTTGCTGCGGCGGGGCATTTGATTTATTTTGGCTTAAGGGTTTAAGAGAAACCTAGTAGTTCATTGCTAAAATCCTATTATAAACAAAACCACCCAACCTTACATGATAACATATTCATTCCGGTTTAGTGGCGTCCAGAAACCAGATAACTATAAATCGATAGATTTTCTATTTACCTTGAATCCTTTACATTTCAATTAATTTCTCCAAGAATAGCTCTTTATCTAAGACCGTGTGCAGTGACGTAGTTTGTAAACCCCAAGCTGAGGAGGTAGCTGGGCGTCCATCACAAACGTGGAATTTATTTACAAAAATGGACCATGTGTGTAATTTGTACCGTAATATCTCTTGCTGCCATATCCCCAACATTGCAGTATGACCGATTGGCTTTAATCGTGAGACTATACATGTCAGTATTCCTTAATAATATTTTGTCCTCGTCAGAACTAATTAGCTGGATAGCTAATAAATCATAAGATCACTAGGTCTTAGTTCGGTTCTGATAATTCAGAAGCTTTTTAATGGTTCCAGTGGAACTGAATTGAGCTGATCTTGTTCTTTGGGAATTTAAAACATGGTCCTAATAAACATCTTATCTTAGTCAGTAACACAGCTGCTATATCAATAATTTAATGTCCCTCAGCCATCTTCGCCTCAAAATACCCCTGGTTTATTGGCGTCTTAGAAGTTAAACCGAACATAAAGGTGCCTGGGATCACATTTTGCAGGGGACTCAGTTGAAATTCATCTCCATTCAGTTAGATTCGCATTCTAGTTGCCTTTGATTGTTTCCTCATTCCAGTTATGACGGTAATATGTTCCAGATGGCAAGTTCCACATGTTGCCTAGTGGTGAGCTTGTGGTACTCAACGTGGGTCAGGCTGATGGGTTCTCCACCTACGAGTGTAGAGTGACTCATCGTCTCACTGGAGAGACTCGAGTCAGCGTGAGACACACCAGGATACAAGTGTCAGGTGAGTAACGTGTACCCACGGTTAACTAAACATGTTGTAGAAAACTCTATACCTAACAATGCCGTTTGAAATATTTATTCTTGAGGAGATCTGTGTAGATTGTAGAAAAAAGTGATTTTTATTTTCAATGTGAGTCATTAGGATTCAATAACGCCATGAAACATGTTTAGGGTAACATATATAAACTAGACAGAGACTAATATTTAAAATATAACTATAACAAATGAAAGTTTGCGTACCCTTTTATACAACAGTTGATACAGTGGACTATTTTAAAATCAAACAGCAGTAACTTTTTAGCAATCGAATGATGCCATCTGCTATAGATTATATTGAATATAACTAAAATAATCAATGGTTATTTAATATTTTGATATAAAAACAATTAACAGGTATGAGTACCTAAATGTATGCCGCAACTATGCTCTCACTCTCAGTGCACACTAGTATAAGTTATGTAAGTTTTTCAATAATATAAATTTATTTCACTAAACATTCGAACTCGTCTTAAATTTTAAAACGTTAATACGGGGAAAGGGTTTCAGAGTATTGATTATATTATTAATTGTTGTAAATAAATGCAACAATGTCAATAAATTTAATTAATTTAAACTTGGAATTGTTACCATCTCCAATTAATGTCAAGTGTTAGTGAGTACCAGGCAACAACAGTCAATTGTGTTGTATGGATACATTGTCGGATGTTACAGAGCTGGGTACATTGAAATTCCCGAGGTTGAAGCTACTTTATTACATTAAACCAACGTGACGATGAATTTATTATTTTCTTTGATAAATCAGACTGGCTAGAGTATGGCTTTGACTGGTCAATTGTTCTGTCAGTGAATTCTACAAGTTTTAAATTTTATTCGTATAGCTTAAACCAAAATAATAATTATTGTACAATTATTATTTTACAAACTTCTTGTTCTTTTACTATATGAAAACTAATCATTGTAGTTTTTTATAAAAAGAAACAAGCTACTGTGGACTTTCAAGTCGACTTATTTATAAATCATTGGCAAACCTGGTTTTAAAATTATGTCCATGCCGAAGAAGAGCTTTGACTCTTTTAATGCTGTTTCACAAGCCTTTCATAATCGTTTAACATACGTCGATACTGAGCTTATCGTAAATTATATTATCCCTATTAACTTTTAAAAAAAACCTTAAAACCATGAACATAAAGTTTATATTGAATAATACGAAAGTATAATAAAGATGGCATTTACCAATAAAGACAAAAACTTGTTTATATAATTTCTAAATAAATAAACCCTTTTGAAACGTAATAATGTAATTTAACTCAAAGTTGATTTTTTATCATTTTTTTCTTTTTTTCAGTTCAAATGGGATTTTACTTGTTCTTTTAGTGTATAGGCATTTTATTACATTTTAAAAATTTGTAAATCTATATTTAATTTACTTTCTTTTCAAGCATATGTTTCCTAGTCAAAATATTTATTTTGTTACATAGTATCTGTGCTTGTGATATAAATTAGTCATCAGCTGCTGTTTGATATTGTGAACATTTTTATTTGTTTATCTTTGGATGATTTTTATTGATTCTTGTGTTCAACAACACATGTTCTTGTGTTCTTGTGTCATGGAGAAATCAATATTTACCAGAGTTGGATTGTTCTGATGTGTAGAAAATGTTAGTTTGTTAAAGCATTAAATATCTTAATTATTTTTTTTAATTTGCATGTTGATTTAATTACAAGCTATTTCGGCATTATGTCAGGTACTGGTGTTAAGTTCTCAGACTTGATTAAGCAGTATGATGGAAGTGGTGATTTTAGTGAGTGGTTAAAGAAACTAGAATTGGTATGTAAGCTCCAAAAGGTGAAAGACTTGCAGACAGTTCTCCCCCTATTTTTGGCTGGAGGAGCATTTTCTGTATATGACGGGCTAGCAGAAAATGTAAAGAGTAACTATGAGGCTCTCACCAATGCATTGCTGCAGGCCTTTTCTGCGAACTGTTTTCAGGCTTATGCAGAATTTACAGCTAGGCGTCTACTTCCCGGCGAGTCACTAGATGTATATGCTTCTGATTTGAAGAGACTGGCAAAATTGGTGGACCCTTTTGTATCTGATGAGTGGATTAAGAGCGCAGTTGTACATGGCTTGCCAGAAGATACTCAAACCCAGTTGAAAGCTGCGTGTTCTCTTCAAAGCATGGAGTTGTCGGATGTAATGACAAGAGCTAGGAATCTGTTGGGCAGTGAGTCAAACTTTGGGGCGGTTGCACAGGCTAATGCCAAAGTTTTCAAAGTTGGTAAACAGTGGTCTAAAAAATGCTTTGTTTGTGAGAGGGAAGGCCACGTAGCACGTTCGTGTCCCCATCTAAATCGTGAGTCAAAAGTAACCTGTTACCGGTGTGGGGAGGTAGGACATTATGCCTCAAAATGTTCACAAATTCCAAAAAACGAGTGAATGGGGCTGCCTTATGTTGCGCGGGTGGCCCAATTTCTTCAGCGCAACTCCCTACATTAACAATAAGTGTGTCGGGTTTTAAATGCTGTGCCTTGCTGGACTCAGGTTGTTCAAGGAGCATTGTGTCACCTAGTTTAGTGAAATATGGAGTAGAACTGAAGCCAGTAAGTCAAAGGATTATAATGATGAATGGAGAATCAGTTGAGTGTAACATGACATGTATGTTACAAGTTTTGATAAGAGGTGTTCCGCTCAAACTGAGTTGCTTGGTTGCCAGTGTATTGCCAAGGTATCAGATGCTTCTAGGGATGGATGCAGTGACTGCAATGGGAGGTGTCACTATTGATGGAGATGGCACTATTACGTTCAGAGACGTTGGTATCGGAGCGATGGCTGAGGCCAAGAAGGAGCTGTGCGTGAAGGAAACCTCGGAGAATGGCAACGATGAGATCGCTATTAATGATTGTGACTTTAATGCGAAATTTGTTGATGGAAAATGGACTGTTGAATGGAATTGGAAAGATGGCGGTAAAACACCTAAGATAAATAACCAAGTACCTTCATACTCAATTTCAAAAGAGGCAAGGGAGGCGTTTGACGCTGAAGTGCATGATTGGATAAGAGACGGTTGGCTCCAGCCTTATGACGGGGAGTTTGATGGCTTAATTCCTTTAATGGCGGTCGTGCAACATAACAAGGACAAAGTGCGACCTGTAATGGATTACAGGGAATTAAATCAGTATGTTTCAAGCCATACAGCAGAAAGTGAGGTTTGTGGGGAAAAGCTAAGGATGTGGAGAAAGCTAGGAGAACATGTGAGCACTATCGACCTTCGTAAGGCATATCTCCAAATCCATATTGCTCCTCATTTATGGAAATTCCAAGTGGTCCGATTTAAGGATAAGAATTATTGTCTAACACGACTCGGGTTTGGTCTAAATGTCGCACCGAAAATAATGAGCAAAATTGTTAATAAAGTGCTGTCAATGGACCCAATAGTCCGAAGTGCTACGGACTCTTATGTTGACGACATAGTGGTGAATGAGAACATTGTTGACGGTGATATAGTAAAGAAGTTGTTGGAAAAATATGGGCTGTCAGCGAAACCAGTGGAGCCACTTGATGGAAGTAGGGTTTTGGGGCTTAACGTCTCAAAAAGAGATGGCAAGTTGATGTGGACCAGAGACAACAAGATAAAAGCTTTGGATAAAATTGAGACCAAGAGGGATGTGTACTCCTTGTGTGGGCAGTTAATCGGACATTTCCCGGTGGCTGGTTGGCTTCGACCAGCATGCAGTTTTCTTAAGAGGCAATTGACAGATTTGAAATGGGACGATGTGGTGGGCAACCGAATCAAGATAATGTTAGGAGATATAATGGAAAGCGTAAAAGAAAAGGATCCTGTGTTTGGAAAATGGGCAGTGTCATCTAGTGACAAAGGAACTGTGTGGTGTGATGCTAGCAGCTTGGCGATCGGTATTTGCATTGAAATTGATGGTGAAATAGTTGAGGACGCGTCTTGGCTAAGGAAAGAAGATGATTCGGCGCATATTAACTTAGCTGAGTTAGAGGCTTTGTTGAAAGGAGTGAACTTAGCTTTGAAATGGAATTTGAAGGAGTTATACTTGGTCACAGATTCGGCCACCGTTTATGCTTGGGTAACATCCATATTAACAGGAGACCGACGTATTAAAACACATGGGATGGGTGAAGCTCTTGTAAGAAGACGGTGGGGTTTGTTAAAAGACCTCATATCAGAATGTGGCCTTAAGGTGAGGATGGATCTGGTTAAATCGCAATTTAACAAAGCAGATCGCCTGACGAGAGTTCCTAAAAAGTGGTTGGCAAGAGAGGAGGAAAAGACCAGTATTGCAATGATGGGTGAAGAAGAGGATGAGGATAAACAAAAGTTGGTCAAAAGAATCCATGGTCTGCATCACTTTGGTGTTAATCGAACTCTTTTCACAGTTAGGCGTTGTTACCCGGCCGTTGAGTTTAGTAAACAGGACGTTGACTGCGTAGTCAAATCATGCAAAGAATGTTTATCTGTTGATCCATCCCCCATCAAATGGAAGCCGGGGCACTTGGATTGCGACAAGAATTGGCACAGGCTTGCGATTGATGTGACTCATTATGGGTCATATAAATTTCTTACAATTATAGATTGTGGTCCAAGTCGGTTTTGCATTTGGCGACGGATCCCAAGTGAGACTAAAGAACAGGTAGTAAAAATCTTACTTGAACTGTTTTCAGAACGAGGTCCACCCCAAGAACTATTAATGGACAATAGTGCAACATTCAGATGTGAACAAATTGAACAACTGTGTGAGGAATGGGGGGTTATCCGCCGTTTTAGGTGTGTGAACCGTCCGTCCGGCAATGGAATCGTTGAACGAAACCATAGAACGATAAAGAGAATGGCAACAAGAACCAGAAGAAGTGTTCAAGAAATGGTATATTGGTACAATCTAACACCAAAAGAAGATTTGAATGAAGAGTCGACACCAAGCTCTAGATTGTTCTGCTACAGGTGGAGGTGTAAGGGCGAACCTGTAAATTGTGAC